CCCCCCAATGAACAGGACTGGAATCTTCTGGTTGCATGGCCCTGGTCGTTGTCTCCCTGGAGCGCAGCCAGGCAGGCTTTCACGGAGGGTCCTGTGTCTGGGGTCCTGACCTTGGTCAAGTCTCTTTGTCTGTGTCTTCACCTGCAAAATGAATGGATTGGCCTCAATCAGCATTTCTCAACCTTAAAACCCAAGCCCCTTTCGATAACCTTCGTGTCTCTGGCATACAGCCCCCTCGTATTTTATGCAGCCCCTGACTTCAGTGATCCCAGTTTTGTTCAACTTTCCATTGTATGGTTTGTATCCAAAAGACGATCTTTTTACTGCTCCTTTATCTTCCACATGGAAAATTCCACAAATTCCACCTTTGCTTTTGCACGTTACACCTGTTCCCCGAGCTTCAGCTGCATCTTTCTGGTTGGAAGTCGTCCCTGAGACCCTCTCTCAGTTCCAGGCCTCTGGCTCGGAGAAGAGGGTGGAGACTTGGGAATGTCCCCTTTCTGTTTGGCTGTGTGGTCTGTTTTCTGTCCCCAACAGGGGCTTGTTAACTTGCCACTTCCCTTTCCTTGTCTCCCCCCCCAAAGTTGTGTCTTGGGTGAGCTTAGAGTTCAGTTAAGCCAGGGCTGATCCTTCCAGCACTGGGGGCTAGGCCCCAGGGACAGAGATGAGCCCTCATGCCCTGGAGGAGGGACATTCTAGTGTTCTCCCTCCCCGAGGAATGATGAAATTCAGAGTGCGTGGTCAGTGCAGCAACAGAGGTGGCGCAGGAAGTTGTGAAGACAGAATCAGGGATAAGCAGTGCAAGCTTTGGGGTTTGGGGGAGTTCTGGCAGGTTTCCTTGGAAGAAGTGGCAGGGTCCAAGCCAGGCCTTGAAGGATATGGAGGTGTTCAATCAAGCCAGGAAGAGGGAATTGCATGAGCAGATCCCTGCACAGCTCTGCTCTTTATTGAGCATCTTCTGTGTCGGAAGCTTTTATACCCATCTCTTTTATTCTGCCAACCAGCTGTAAGCGGTCTGGGTTCCTCTTTTCTCAGTATGGAAACTGAAGCTCAGTTTCCATAGTGGCGACCTCAGAGATGGTCCCCTGGGCTTTCCAGAAACATGAAGGATCATTAGAAACCTCCAACTGGCAAAGACCAAATTGCTAGAGCATGTTTCTCAGCTGCAGCACCATTGACATTTGGGGCTGGGTTATTTTTTGCTGTGGAAGCCACCCCACGCATTACAGGGATAGCAAGCAGCATCCTTGGTCTCCACCCACTAGAGGTCAATAATACGCCTCAAGTTGTGCCCACCAGATGTGGCTGTGGGTTTCTTGGGGCTCAAGAACCACCGCTCTGGGGTGAAATCTGGTTATTGCTCCAGGCCTACCTTTGTCTCGGTGACTCTTTGGTGTTTGATCCGCTCCCAGGGAACGGCAGCCAAGGGCAGGCGTGGGGTAGAGCGGCCAGCAACTGAATTCTGCCATCTGGTCAGTTCTTAATCTAGAGTCCTGATAAAAAGGAGACACGGTTGGGAAAGGACTGAGGGGGAGTTAGGCAGCATGCCCCAAGAATGGACAGCAGAGGAGGACCAAGAGGTGAGCCAGGGCCATCTTCGCTCACTGGGACAGCAGATGCCATTGTCTTTCTCTTTGTCTTACAACTGACCTGGATTTCTGCAGGAACCGTCCCTCATCTCAGAACGAACTACTGGTTTTCTTCCGAGATTAGAGGTATTAGATTCTCTTCTCGAGAGCTACTTTGGAGGTGGCCCCAGATCAGCGTGGCTCTTGGCCCCAGACGCTGGAACGTCCTCAAGCACAGACTGTCTAGCTTTTGCTCTTTGTGCGTCCTTCTCTGCTTGTTCCCCAGCCATGCCATAGCTGCTTTAACTCCACGGGAGGAAACAGCACGTTCTGGGGCCGCCCGACCCCTTCTGAACATTGCCCTCCCCCACCAGTCCCCATCCACCAGCCCTTTGTGTGCCCAGCATCCCTGACCCACTGTGCCAGGCAGCCCCTGCTCGGCCTCCCCGCAGAGCAAGACAGGCCCTTCTCTCTGCCCTCCTCCGGACGGACAGCATAGCAGAACAAAGGGCTCTGTCTGAGCACCACCGGGTCCCCGATGGGCCCTGTCACTCTACCTCTTTTCAGTTTGGCCCAGAAGGGGCCTCGGCGATTAGGCACGTCTCAGAGACACAGCCGATGAGTTTGGGTTCTACTCATTTCCTCGTCGAGACTTTCTGAGCCCGTGGCTGATGATAAATAAAGTAGTGATTCAAGGGTTCGGCCTGCGGGTTAGTCGGAGCAATGAATAAGCTGTCCAGGTCTGACTCATTCGTTTATACCCTGCTCTGCGCTGCTTCAGCAGGGTTGCATGTGCGAGAGGGGACCCAGCTACAGGCATTTCATTTCTGTCTCTGCTGGGTGTACGAATCTCCCGGGGCCACTGTGACAAAGAACCACAGACCAGGCTGCTCGAGCAACAGAAATGCATTGTCTCACAGATCTGGAAGCCAGAAGCCCAAGATCAAGGTGTTGGCACGGTTGGTTTCTTCCTTCTGTGTCTGTGTCCTAATCTCCTCTTGTCAGGACAGGAGTCCTGTTGGATCAGGCCCACCCTAATAACTTCATTTTAACTTAACCATCTCTTTAAAGACTCTATCTCCGACTCCAGTTGCATTCTGGAGCGCTGGGGAGTAGGGCTTCAACATGAGGAATTGGGGTGCGGAGGTGGGTGGGACCCACTTCAGCCCGTAACACTGGGTAAGGGACAAATTTCGTCTTTATTTAGTGAAGCAATTTTGGACGAACAATCACACCGGTAGAGTTCATCTTGTTGCGTCTCACTCATTTAAAGAAACGTTTTAAGGGAGGTGGCCAAGTTGGCCACATCAAGTTTGGAAGCATCCCATTAGGAATCTTCCAGATCTCTCACACGTCCTTACGTTTGGGGTGACAGTAGACAGACAAGGACCCGGCTCGGGAAGAGCGGATCTCGTGGGACTTTACCAGGGGTGTATTTAGAACCAGGCCTGGGAGACTGTGTGTGCCCACCTGGGGGCTGATGAAGATTTGTGGTCGGGGGCGTATGGAGGTCTCTGGCCTCAGTGTTGCTACGGTCACAGGAGGGGGATCTAAGAGCGACTCTGTTAATGAACCAAAATGACTTTGGGACCAGCCGCTGCCATAGCTGATTTGACAAAAGTTTCCAGAAGATCTGAAAATCATTCAGCAAAAAGGGTTAACGAGGCAGGTGCAGAGCTGGCTTTCAGGGTTACCGTGAGAGCAGAACGGCCCTCGCCTCTTTCCCCCGAGTGCAGATGTCAGGAGTCACGCCCGCGGAGAGGCGCCCAGCACCCGGCGAGCTTGTGACCCGGTCAGGGCTTGTTGGCGGAGGAAGAGGGACACACGAGAGCTTCCCCCAGCAAGCCCTGGCAAAGGTCGTCTCCCTCGGAGGCCGATGCCACCGCATCCTTGCAAGTGTAGTCAGAGCAGTGCGTCAGCGGCAGGCCCGCTGGGGCTTTGCCCCGGTCCTCCTGCTCATCTCTCTGAGCATCTCCATCCCGTCCTAGGATGGGTGGAACAGAGGGAGTGGAGGGGTGACATTTGAGATGTCGCTTCTCAGGTTTCTGGGATGCACCCGGGGCTTTCATTTCCTGGTGAGCAGGGTCTCCGGCCACTGCTTGGGAAGATCCCTGGGATCCTCGCCTATACGTGGAGATGCTACTTATCAGGAGCTAGTGGGAGAACAGGTGGCAACAAAAAAAAGGGCAAGAGGCGAGCCCAGCCCGTAGGCCCTTGGGAAGCCCGTGTCTCCCCTAGGTGGTCCCCGAGG